GTATTGCCACCCTTACTTCTGCACTGCCTTCCGAGCTGGGCAGCCAGAGGGTGGTGGCTGCTGACCAAGGTCCCAGCTCTGAAGGCAGCAGCACAGAAGTATGGGTGGCAATATCATACCATGGCATCCTTACTTCTGCGCTGCTCCTTGCACCAGTTCTACCTTCAGAGCTGGGCTCCCGGTCAGCAGCTGACGCTCTCCAGCCACCCAGCGCAGAAGTAAGGGTAGTAGTACTACAACCTGCCCTACAATAACCTTGAGACCCCTCCACAAATCCCATTTGCATCAGGACCCCTGCAATTACAACACCATGACATTTCAGATGAAAATATCTGAACTCATGAAATGTATGATTTTTAAAATCCTATGACCTTGAAACTGACCAAAATGGACTGTGAATTTGGTAGGGCCCTAAGTATAAAATAAAAGAGAAGAAGTTTCCATTCAAGTTGTGCCAGCTCCTTACCCCCTGGTGGTGGGGTGCAGCCCTGAGACATCCCAGTCCTTGCAAGGATCCCGATCATCATGAACAGACGCCAGAGAAACTCCATCCTTGCACTGTCAGCATAGGACATCACGTGAATGTTCTATTAAAAAAAAAAAACTACGGCCATAGCAAGTTTCAGATGAGCACCTCACACAGCCAATGGTCCTCATTTTACAGAGAGGGAAACTGAGGCACAGGGAACCAGCAACTTGTCTAAGATCCTGAAGCAGGTAAGGAGAAGACCTGTCAATAGAACCATGGTCCACTGAAGTCTATTCCCTTCTTCTGTCCACTAGACCATCCTGAATCAGTGAATCTGTCTCAGGGTGACTAGATCCTTTTGTGACATGCTATACCTTGGGGGAGCATCCTGGAACCCCCATATGCCTCATTTTTATATAATTATGAGCTTACATATAAAGCATACCTTGTAAGGTATCAGGGGAAATGTTATGATCTGCTGAAAGTCATTTCTCTATCCATATATGTATATCTTTAATGAATGTGAAGTTATGAGAATTGTGTTGTATGGTGGTCACTAAAACATGCTGTAAGTTGGGGAATCAGCCAGATATTAGCTCCCCAGAGGCAACAGCAAGGAAAGTAGCCAACACCCAGGCAGAGTATCAATCAACCCATCAACAACCATTGTCCAGCAAGGGAGCTACAATGCAATGACTCACCTGCATGAGGCCACACCAGGGGAATTGCTCACCCTCGCCTGGGGACTCAGCATTGCACCCAGACATGCCTGGACTTGTGTTTTCCAAGCACATGGACTGAGGGTATAAAACCGAACACAGGGGGCCCATGTGGGGCCTTTCTCCTGCCCCCACCCATGCTGCAAACAACAACGACATGAGAAGAAGACTGAAGACTCCAACAGAGGAGACTGGCCCAGATTTAAGGGACAAATCTGTATATTAAGGACTGCAATAACCAGTGGGGTGAGAAAAACGGCTTAATCTAGTTGCTGCCCAGTCTAACAGGGTTGAGGGTTTAGACTGCGTGCTTATATTTTATTTCTTTTGGTAACTAACTCTGACTTTTTGCCTATCACTTAAAATCTATCTTTTGTAGTCAATACATTTGTTTTACTGTTTATCTTCACCAGTGAGTTTGCCTGAAGTGTGTGGTAAATCTGGTCAGCTTTTGCAAAGGCTGGTGTATGTCCACTCTCCACTGATGAAGTGGTGAACCAATTAATAAATCTGCACTGTGCATGTTGAGCAGTGCAAGATGGTATATTCCTGAGGTACAGAGCTGGGGGTATTTGGCTGGTGCCTTTCTCTGTGTGAATCATGAATGGCTCTGGGAGCATTCATGCAATCTAGGTGGGTGTGGGGTCCCTACATGTGGTTGTGCTGAGTGATAACAGTATCTGGAGGGGTTTGCTGCTGGTCATTGTGAGAGACAGCCCAGGCTGGAGAGAGTTCAGGGGGCACAGTGGTCCCACAGTCACAGGCTGCACTCCAGGGATCCCATCATACCTTTAATACAGGTCCTTATCCATCTGGCAATCAGGCTTTGTATTCCAATCAAATTATGGGATGGTCAGTGACAGCTCAGCCAAAGATCATTCAAAAGTTAGAATTGAGAAACTTTATCAAATTATTTCTAGTATATCTGGAAATTCACCTGTTAGTAGAATCACAGGTACTTTAGTTAAGGTTGAGAGCACATATCAGTCATTTAGGTAAAGTACATTACAGAGCTGTTATGATGATCCAAAAAACAAACCTTAAAAACACAGGAAATTCACAGCTAGGGTTAAATATAAAAAAGATCCACACATGTTAAGGTATGAAAATGCACAGTTAAGGTGCCCAAATAATCTTAACTCTAGCTTGTAGTTGTCCGTGAGGAAAAAATAAGAAAAAAAAATTAATATGTTTTTAACAATCAGTTTAATGTTATCTGGGCTCCCACCCACTTAAATGTCTTAATCATAAAGTTATGGGTTTGCATGGCACCATGGTAGGGCAGAATTATGCTGACAAAGAATGTTTTTGCAATAAGAATAATGGGAAAAAGCTATAATTAATCATATACTAGACTATTCAAATGTAGCCCTGGCACAAGACTGCAGTGAATTTTAACTGTATGGGAAGTTGGAAGAGTTTGTGGCAGGCAGAGTTAAGGTTGTTTGGGTACTGTCATAAACATAGAGAAAAGGGTAGCATACAATCCCTCCTTGGCAGCTGTACTGAATCGCTTTACCTGTAAGGGGTTAAGAAGCTCAAATAACCTAGTTGGCACCTGACCAGAAGGATCAATGAGGAAAGAAGATACTTTCAAATCTTGTGAATTTTCTTGCTGTAGATTAACTACTCTGCCTTCAGGCAAAGAAAAAACAAACAAACTCCAGCTGCTCTCAGCTTAAAAAAAAAAGTGCCCTTTTAAAATCCTGAGGTCTGTACTTTTGGTTCAAAATGACCCCACTTTTACCACGTCAGGGTCCCCCCCCACTCTGAACTCTGGGGTACAGATGTGGGGACCCTCATGAAAGACCACCTAAGCTTATATTTTACCAGCTTAGGTTAAAACTTCCCCAATGCACAAATTCCTTTCCTTGTCCTTGGACAGTATTGCTGCCACCACCAAGTGATTTACACAAAAATTCAGGGAAGGGTCACTCGGAATCCCTATCCCCCCAAAATATCCCCATAAACTCCTTCACCCCCTTTCCTGGAGAGGCATGAGAATAATATACCAACCAATTGGTTAGCAATGTGAGCACAGAACAGACCCTTTGTCTTTAGGACACTGGAAAATCAATCAGGTTCTTAAAAGAAGAACTTTATTTATAAAGAAAAAGTAAAAGAATCACACCTGCAAAATCAGGATGGAAGGTAACTTTACAGGGTAAACAAAAGATTTAAAACACAGAGGATTCCCCTCTGGCTTAGCTTCACAGTTACAAAAACAGGAATAAAACTACTTCTGTAGCATAGGAAAATTCACAAGCTAAAACAAAAGATAATCTAATGCATTTCCTTGCCTACTTACAATTTCTGTGGTTTTAGATCTATTATTCCAGGTATATTTTCAGGAGATGTTGTACCTGCTTGGTCTCTCCTTCCGTCCGGAGAGGAAACAACAAAGAGAGAGCCACAAACAAATCCTCCCCGCCAGATTTGAAAGTATCTTCTTTCCTCATTGGTCCTTCTGGTCAGGTACCAACTAGGTTATTTGAACTTCTTAACCCCTTACAGGTAAAGTGATTCAGTACAGCTGCCAAGGAGGGACTGTATGCTACCCTTCTCTCTATGTTTATGACAGGTACCCTAATGTGACCTTAACATATTTGGATTTCTTTTCAGTTTAACCATAACTGTGAATTTCCTGAGTTTACGACACTTGGTTTCCAGATAATAGCATTGTCCCTGTAACGTGTTTTACCCCGTATTACTGATACGCTCTCTCAACTGCAACTCTAAGGTAGTTTCCGACTGGAATTTCCTTGTTTTTTTTTTAAATAAGAAGTGTCATACATGAAGTGACGAAGAGGGAATTGTCTGTAATATTTCTAGGAATGAGATGCGGGGCAGTGACTGACT